GTGAAAAGGAGGGATACAGGGTTGCAAGGTTAGAGATCAGGGGAATGTGGGGAGGGAAGATTCAGAGTAAGAGACACGTGAGGATATTGAAAAGTGTGTTGGGTGTTTTTTTGTTTGTTTGTTTGTTGTTGTTGTTTGTTTGTTGTTTTTGTTTTTGTTTTTGTTTTTGTTTTGTTTTTTGGGTTTTTTTGGGGGGGGGTTAGGGGGGCATTTTGTAGGTAAATTTAGACGTGTTTTTGCTGGAACCGATTGTTCTAGAGGTGGGTGTTTAGGTGAAGGTATCATGTTAAATAACTCCATGCTTGAAAGGAATATACATATATTACAGTGTTCAGTAACTCTTTCCTTGTAGAAATACCGAAAATGTGATTGTGTTCTATTGCACTTCGCTTCTTTCTGTTGAAGACACCATATCTTATCATATTATTGTCTTGCTCCCAAGAGAGACACTGTGCTGTAGGATAGGTTCTCAGTGAAAACATTGACCTATTTATTATTTGATTGTACGATATAACATAGGGTTATACTATTCTTGGCTGTTCATCAGCGCCTGTGGTATATTGGTAGAGCAAAATGTGCGAACTCGATTGACGTATGGTGAAATCTATTTTCCCGAATTAGTCAACTGCTGGGACGCTCAACCTATCCTACTCAGCCCGGGTTGATACCCAAGAAAGACAAAGTACTACCTGCTCAGTACCTAATTTTGAGCAATTTGACATTTTAAAAATGTTGAGTTTCATACCATGTCAAACTTTTTAAATGCAATTATTCTATCTATATCTTGATAACGCTTCTGAATAATGTTACGATTTTGACGGAAGAATTGGTTTCTGACCTCATGGTGTAAATGACTCTAAGTTAGCGACCTGTAGAATGTCTGTGGGAAATATATCAAGCGAAAACTGAACTAAGTCATTCACAAACTTTTTTTATACGTGAAGTTTGGAATTAAGAACAAGCCTTGTACATATTCGAAAAAAAAAGTGGAGAAGAGGGCTAAGTCGTGGTAGGTTGAATGTCGCTAGTCTATTTTCCATTTGACCAGTTCATATCTTTAGCAACATAGCGCTGTGTATTTTAGCATGTTAAATATAGCACAACCAAAATTATTGTTTTCTTTCTTTTCCCCCCCCTTTTTTTGTTGGGTTTTTTTTTATGTTTGTTTTTTGAACACTCCTGCGGTTACAGTTCAGACAATATCGGAGACGGGCTGCTAAGACTAGATTTATTTTTGGGGTACTCACCTTTACGTTTAAGCCGCTACTAGATGGCGAGAAATGTCACGTAACTGATGAATAGTAGACACTTTCGTGCAGAATGAGGGCAAGAGCAGACGCAAGGGTGTTTTATACCCGTTCTGACAGAAGCTTATCTTATCACAAAGACGACGCCAAAGGATAACATTTTAAAGAAACAAAAACAAAAACAAAATCGCAGAAAACAAAAACAAAAACGACACATACTGATAAACAAAAAAGAAACCTTGCTATATTTATCTGAATGTCTTGTAAGGAGGGCAGTTGCCTTTTCCAGGGTACAGTGGAATGGGGCTATGATTTAAACACAACAGTACTATTGCTGACGTTATTACTTCGCTTATCGGTCGTGCTGCTGCAGTGAATATCCATACTGCTGCTGCTGCTGCTGCTGCTG